CTAAAACTGCCAAAATTGCCAAAAACCTAGCCGAATGCAAAAAACCCTAGCAAGCTGCCAAGGTTGCTAAAAACCTAGAAATGCAAAAAAAAAAAAAAAAAAGAAAAGAAGCGAAAAACAAATTAACAAAAAAATAAATAAATAAAAGCCTCAAGGTACATGCCCACACAAACATGTACATGCCAGCTGCATATATAAATAACTAAAGACATTGAGCTTAAGAGTTTTTAAGGTACAAAATACCCTGTAGACAAGTACACTGTACGTGAACATTCATACCCAAGCAGCTTTGAAGGGTAAAAGAACTTGTTTCATGAGGTCAGTTAGTAACATACACTGTATATAAATATACAATGTAATAACCGACAAAGCAGGAAAGAACTCCCATTAACTTGTTACAAAGTATTCATGTACCAAGAATGACTACTTTATTGTTTCCAATTTTTTTAGCATGCACATGTTTTAACAAGTTTTTATTACTCCTAAACGTTGTGTGGGTAAATAAAGGATTGTATTGTATTGATGGTATTGTACAGTTTAGGAAAACATAATGCATGTAAATGTACAGTTTCTGTGGAGGGAGCCCACTTAGTACCAGGACTAGGATTTGACCCAGCCCACAGTGGCAGGAGGTCAGCACCCTCGCCTCTGCACCAACCCTGTACCACCCTTGCTCCACAGTGCCATAAAGAACTGTATGCAGGGCTTGACTTTCAGGAAAAAACCTCAGGGCAGCTGGCCCCTAAGTTTTCAGATTTAGTTGCCAGCAAAAGTGTTTCAATCAGTGAAAAGCAGGGATTGTTAGTCACCAGTGAAAAAAAAAAGTGGTTGCATTGGCAACCCCAGCGGTTGCAACGTCGAGCTCTGGTATGTACTCAAAGTATGCACACGCATGTACTGGAAAATAATTATGCCACAAACCTTGATGGTGGGATAGCAAACCAGAACTCTCTCCGTTTCTGATCTCGATCATGAAGCTCTTCTCCTTGCTGCAGTATTTTACCTGGGGCACTGTGATGACGACACCAGTGTTTCTTACTGATTCTCAAGCACAGATAGAGGGGCTGGTGGTTCAAAGGGGCTGCAGGCTTTGGCACTATATGTGTATTGTCATCATCACTCTCACTACCATGTCGTTCTGGGATGAAAAAAGATAATAATAATGAAAAACCTGTCATGCCATTCCCTATAATATGACCTCTTTACAAACATGTGATCCAGTAATTTTCAAATTACACCCTGTACTGGAAAGTAAGTCAAAATCTCACATGTTTTTCTTTTCTTTTCTTTTCTTTTCTTTTCTCCTTTTTTCTTTTTCAAATTTAACTGGTCAAATTCTTGTGTTTTTTAGACAACTAAGTGTGCAATTGGATGAGATGCTTGGAATTCATGCAGCCATAATCTTACTTAGTTTTAAGGGATTTGAATAAACTACTGCAGATGAGTACAGTATGTAAATTTTTAGGGTATTGATTTTTTCCCCTTCAATACATTCACTTATCCAGGGGTTTCAATAATGTTTTCAGCAGAAAGGCAACTGGTTTTCACAGGCAAGCAAAAATTTTTGAACTGAACTTCTTGATAAGAAAAACTATCCTCTAGATGGTCAAACGAGGCAGGAAAAATCATCCTCGCAGCTGGTCAATTTGCCTTGTGCCCAGAACTTAATTGAATCCCAGCTTATCTTCCCTTAATCCAGTCCACATGCCTCGGGTTAATAATAATGTGAACAAGCAGAACTTACCATGTTTACCATAAGTTCCTTGGCCAAGCCAGTATTTCACATTACTACTTAAAGCAGCAAATAGTGAGGATGAGCTTGGGTGATCAAGTCCAAACCCTTCAGAGTCCTCATGAGGGTGAGCTGATTGATTTTCATCGCATTCAGTTTTTGCACTGTCACTTGAAGCCTGCATTACAGCAGAATCATTGACCTGGTTGTTGTGTCTGTGCTCCAAGTGTTCAGTGAGGTCTGCATCTTCAGCTTTACCATCATCTGCATGGCTCAGAGAGCATCCAATGCCAGAATCTTCTGATACTGGCGACACTGAGTGAATATCTCTGCTCATGAGATTTTCTTGCATAAGCATTGGACTTCCTTTAGATTTGGCTATCTTTTCCCCCACATGCTTATCCTGGCATTCCGCTATTTGATCTATAATACTATTGAGCACTTCATGTATAACATTTTTTATGCCTTCATCATCCACTGCTGGGGAACCATTTACAGCATTACACATGCAACTCTGTGCAAAGTCAGGGGTCTGGCTTTCACTTTTCAAGTGTTTGACTTTATCCTCCTGTGAGGAGAGTGATGGTTCAGTGATCTCATTGAGATTAGTAGAAACTTCACCGCAACTTTTACACAAAGAAGATGCTGTTTCTGTATCACTTGTAGAGCTATTTTGACGACTCAATGTCTGTGCAGTTGCAGCATCTAAATAAAACCTGCAAGAGGAAATAACAACAAAGCAATTTGTGCGACGGTCATTGGAATAACATAGAAGAGCACTAAGACTTGGATAGATGAGCTAATTGTAAAGTATATCTACTCAGTTACAATACTGGAATTGATGTCCAGCTCCTTTTTAAAGTGACAGGGCATGTGAACAAGAAGTTCTCACTTGAAGGCCACAGAAAAACTACAAAAACTAATTAACCACACTGTAAAAACACACCTCCTACAAGTCAGAACATCTTTAACAAAAAATGGTTGCCAACAGAAACTAAAACTTTTACATGTAGATGCTACATGTAGAGACATGCAGCAATGCCAGAAGTAAACCTGTGTTTATGTGCAAATTAAACTCTGTGGTAAATTCATAATCATTTCCCCAAAACCTCTTGTATTTTACAGGCCCATATAGCTACACATGAACCGTGAGTACATCAAAAAACAAAGGCGCAAGCCTCAGCCTACCCATGTGCATGTACATGCATGTGTACACTCAAAACAGTCTCCTCCCTACTGGTTGACTTGGAAGGCATGTACATTAAAAGAACTGCTCTCTTTACCTGCCGGGTTTTAAGGGATCATGGATTGCCATAGCAGCAATGTCTGTATACATTGCGGCACTTGTGACTGATGTCATGAGTGTGGCTATGCTGTACGTGTCTTGACCCCTGTCCATCACAAGCGGGTCAGACACATTAGGCTTGAACATGACAGAGTGTGGTGTGATCAGTAAAACACCATTTGCGATACCCTGTAAAAGATGTCAACACAACCATCTTACATGACCAAGTTGTTAACAATACATGCGCATACAAATACACATACAGTAACTTGTCAAAAAATAATCTTGCTTTGTTCTAGCCACGGTCAATGGTTTGTTAACACAAAATAAGTTCTATCTAGTAGTTTGCGTAGTAAGAAGCAAGTTTATATCATTAGAGAGGTTAAGGATGACATTTATAGCAAACGGAAAACGGCAAAAATGAAACTTTTGCCGTCTTTATTTAGCTGTACGTACAGTAGAGTGAAATTATATTTTGTATTTGCAATGAATCGTAGGAGACGTTATTCCATTTTTGTGTGCTTTATTTACAGATTAGAAGAAAAGAACTCAAAATCAGAAGTTGTCTTTGCTGTTTGCTGTCTGCCGTTAACGTCATGTTTAATCTCTCTGTTATCACTGTGCCCCCAGATGAGAAGCAAATCCATCACAAGTAAAGAGGACATGTTTCAGAAATTTCAAATAGTTTAATACATATTTTGGATGAGTCCTATCCATTTTTTATTTTATTTCAAACTGATGATGAACAAGGTTTATCTGAGACATTGTACAATAACGGGTTTCATTAAGGCCCGGGCACCAGACAAATTGACCAGCGGTGAGGAGAAGTTTGCCCACCTAGTTTGACCATCTAGAGGAAAGTTTTTTCACATAGGGAAGTTCAGTTCAAAATGTTTTGGCCACCTGTGTCCTCCTGCTAAAAACATCAATGAAACCCCTGTGTACAATGCATTAGACAAGTTAAAGAGATCTAGAGGACCTAAAAGAATTCTGTTGGATTATATGATTAATTAAAAGTACTGTTCACCTGGCCATCAGTGATATATTTGGCATAAATCTTGAGGTAATGCTCAGTCACTTCCTCTTCCTCTTCCTCCCATGACACATCTTTAGTCAGTTTGACAGTTTCATGTTCACCATTGCGCATATTTCCATTCTCCTGATGGAAATTATAGAACATTTGGTATAACTAGCAAAAAAATTTCCAGTCTCATGTCTTGAGATTTGTAAGAGTTGAGTTTCATAATCAAGTTAGAATCACTAATTAGAATTAAACTGTTGGTAAAGAAAAGCCACCTTATTTTAGTCAGGGTCTCCAGGACCACGTGATCTACTTACATGTATAATGTGATGTTTTAAAAACAGTACAGAATGCATGTTGAATACCTTTGTTAGTAAAGGCTGTGGGGGGTTTGTAACAGGCAGTGAAGAAGATGGCTCTCCTGCAGAATTACTTGCTTCCAGTCTCTTGTCTGGTACAAAAAGTGTCTGAAAAGTAAAACAAAAACTAGTTAAAGGCACTATGTCTGGGAGGGAGAAAGTGTCTGAAAAGTAAAAAACAAAAGAAACAAAGTGGTCAAAGTTGCTATGTCTTGGATGGTGCATCTTGAGGAATTAATCCCAACAAACTTGCTGTTTTGAATTCAAATTAATGATGTTGAATTCAACATGCTTTCAAGGAAATACCATACAAGTTATTGAGCATTTCTTTTTTTCACAAAACTGGCTTACACAGGCAGCATTTGGTCACCCCAACTACTCAATTGGCACCAGGAAACTTCTACCTGGAGAGAGGCACTGTCTGAGATAAGAATCTTACCCAAGAACAGAGCAAAATGACCTCTGCCAGGGCCATCAGCTTATCTCCAGTAAATTTCAGTGTTAATTCTGATATTTATTTAAACCTACACAGTAAGTACATCTGTCTTATTGATGTTTTGGTGTGTAGTATCGCTGTATATTTTTACAAGTTAAGCCATATTTTGACGAGCCAGTAGGGCGAGTCAAAATACAAACAACGAGTAAAAATATAAAGCGATACTACACACCAAAACATCTAATAAGAGATTTATTATCCAACTGCCATAGTCAATAAATTTATCAATGAAATAGGGAGAGTGTGACAGTTTTGCGTGCACACGCTGACCTGTACAGAAAACAGGTTTTCTACTGTATAAATAACTGTACAATATTGCTGTATATTTGTACTGTTATTTGGACGGTATTAACTGCAGTTGGATAATAAAGTCATTAAAGTGAAAACAAAAGCACTTAAAGGCTAAAATGATACAAAGAACACAAGACGGTTTGGTATCGTGGAAACAAAATCAAATTTAATTAATTTAGATTGGGATTTCACACTTTCAGAGAAACATTCTGAGAATTTCATGTCACATAAAGCCAATTACACCACGCTGATGGTCTTCTTTAATCTTGCAACCTGCCTTCTCAAATGTGAAGGGATACTAGTTAAAATAAAAAAAAAAAACCTGTGGAAAGTGTTCCATTAAGCCAAAATACAAATATCAGAAACAAAACCTACATGTAGCTTATCAATTTATATTATGGTATCGTGTATTTGTGGATGCCATGGTGTTACAAGAGCACCTGGTATATTAACAAAACACTGGCAACAAGACTTGGCTGAGGTTAAGGCAATCATATGAAACTACAAGACCGGATCTACAAGTGAAGAAGGAAGCTAGTGCTCTCTTAAAGTTCAAACCAAGTTATTGTTCCATACATGAAAATATATCAACTTAATTTAATGAGAGAATTCAAGACATGGAAATGCTTCCATCACTGCACTTAAGTCTCCCACAGTAATCTTAAAACAGTCTTTAAAGCTTACAAAATAATGTGAGACAAGAATAGTGAAAATGATTTTAAACAACAACAGCCTTTTTATAATTATTCTCTTCCCAATCACATACCCTAAAGCAAGCTTTCATGTTAATCCTCGGCCACATACACTCTACAATTATCATGGCTCACAGAAAATTCTACAAGACATGTGATCAGACTAATTTGCATGTTTTTTTCTTCAATAGATATCCCATAGTTTGAACAAGTTGCCTGTGACACTCTTCAATTATTTATTTTTGCCACCATACAACACCTGAAAGAAGCTAGAAAGTTTCATCACTACAGAGCCATAAAATGATAGCCAAGAGTAACTTTTTCACTCCACATTCATTTAGCTTTTATTTCTCAACAGTGTTTCCCTCCAAAAAAAAGAAAAGTTACATGTACAGTGTACATGTATACAGCATAAACATAGTATTGAAAAGAAGATATATATTACTAGTTCTATCCAAAGATAAATCACTACATAGTGGATAAGTGTTAACAAAACAAACTGCACTATCTACTGGATTTAGTGATTTATCTTGTGGATAGCATCATCCAACCTTTGTACAACTGGGACCTGGAAGACAAAGCAGCTCCTTGGTTTACAGTGTACATGTATCTGCAGTTTTAGTCTCTAGGTTATTTAGGGTGCTTTCCACTCAATGAAAAAAACAGAAAATTTTGAAATGGGAAAAATGGTATGGACATTTCCTGGCAAAGTTTTCCAGAAAACCTGGAAATTGTTGCATGCCCAAAAAGCAAACCATTCAATCGCAGAAATCGGATGAAAGTAAAATCAAACAAAAATTCAAGGCAAGAAATTTCTGAAAATTTCTATATACCTCACAAGGTTGTCCACTTTTCCAGAAATTCCATGAAAAGCTGTCCAACTTGTCACAGGAAATTCCCCGAAATTCAAACAGGATTTTTTTTACCAGATAGAAATAAAAGCACCCTTAGAAATCTGATCTCGTGTGTGACAATCGAAAATCCTTGTATGTTTTTAGACAAGCAGGTTTTCTGGAAAATTTGAAGTAAACAGAGAACATTTTGAAGTAGCTGGCACTCGTAGCATTTTCTTAGCTTTCTGATCAAAAAAGAAGCAAGGGAAAATAAAATGTCAGCTTTTATCAGGCTTCATGGAAGCCTGATAATACCCAACATTTTATTCCATGAGATTAAATGAATGTCAAAGCATTTATCTCTTCAGCAAATTCCTTTACTTGGCACTGTAACCACTGCAAATCATTATTGTGGTTACTACCATGAGAACACATTTTCTCATGTGATGTACACATCACAATACAATATATTACATGAGCTATAAACTGCTACCACTAAAGAGAGTCTTGTTTTTTTGTTCATTCACATGACAAAAGTTGCAGATGTTGTTTTGTTTTTGAGTTCTCAGCCAAATTTTCATTGTCTCCAGCATGGTGAGGTACATGTACATGCAATGAAGAAAAAAGTCTCAGAATTTTTTTTCAGAGAGTTTCTTGTCTGCATTTAGCATCTTCAAAGAAAAAAATATATATATTGAGTAGCTGGCACAGCCAGGACTACTGGATGACAAGTTTTGCCAGTTACTTGTCCTTACAGAGAACTCTGAGTGAGGAATAATACACAGGTGCCCTCACAGTGTCTCTCCATTGACTCTAGCCGTGTGGTTCCAGAAAATAACATCTCTCATAGCCCTCTGCTCTACCTCTAAACCCAAGGAAGGTTACAGTCAACAAGATTGCTACTGTCATCAACAAAACTAATGTATAATAATGTAAATTCCCCGAGTTTTCTTCACCTTGGAAAAAATACCTTAACTATTAGTTGCTCACCTGTCCTGGAAAAAGCATACGCGAGGCAAGCTTGTTAATTCTGGTCAACTCAGAAGGCGTAGTATCAAATGAGAGAGCAATCTTCGCCAAGGTGTCAGTTGCATCAACCTGTATAGAGTGCATGTAAAACCCAACTCAAATTATTATAAAATATTAGTATCAAATTGAGACCCCTAAGCAAGCCTGCAATATTTATCTACAGCAGTGTTCTCCACAGATTTTAAAGTAGTCAGCTTAAAATTTAAATTAGCCAGCGCTTGCAAATCAAGCGTCTGAAGGACACAAGATTGTAGGGGTACAGGGACATGCCACCCCCTGCCCTCCCGGAAAATTGTTAAAAATTACGTGGCTGGAGACGCGATCTGACACATTTTTCATTCTTATTTGTCTATGACACTAGATAGCTATTGGCTATCGTTTCCTTCAGAAATACATGTTTGCTTACTGTTTTTGCAATTTGAGATTTTAAGCACAAATTCAAGCTATGCTCAGAACTGTCTTACAGAAACAGAAGAATGATTTACTGTGGTTTTGTCTAACAAAAATAGCCAGCACTTGAAATGCAACTAGCTGGTGAAAATGCCGGCCGCTGGCACTTCTGGAGAACACTACTACAATACCAAAGATGCAAACTGAAAAGAAAGTCCAAATAAGAAATTCTGGGATTAACTAATTGAATATAGTTTATATCAAACTAATATGCAAATGTTATACACTTAATTACTGGTCCCAAGGGAAAAAGTTAGTTTTGTTTCCCTGAGAATCTTGATGTTTCCTCAGACCAAGTGGAGGGAAGAGCTGAGATTTGAGGGAAAACAAATCTAATTGTTTCCCAAGGGACCAGTAATTACAGTAAGTGTTTTGTTGTATAGCTGGAGTTTAGTGTAAAGAAATAAGTCAAGAAGGCAAAGTAACCTCTAATTGGTGGCAATATGGGCAACCATTGCTTAATAGACCTTTCCCGCATTCCACTTCAGTGCGTGCGAACAATGGCTCCAGAGCGAGGTTGGGGTGGACATTTTCAGACATTTGACTTGGTACTATTGTTTGTTGAAATGTGGGAAAGATCTACTGTTGACCACTAGGCGGCATTTAGCCATTGCCATGTGGCCATGAATCAAACAATAAGAATGTGTGTTAGATTTAACTAAACACAGCTAAGGATATAAAAATGCGTTTTATTAATGAACATAAAATAATAGTCCTGTACATACTTTTTAAAGACCAATATTAGTCCAAATATAGCACTTCAATACAAATTTGTAAAATGGTGGCAGACGAACTTTTAGCCAAATTACAAAATGCAATTGCTTGGAAGTGCGAAATATACATTAGACAGTGCATTGTAAGAGCTGTTCATTGTTTTGAAAGCAATCTCAAGCTGAGTTTTAAACCAAGATCTAAGACATGAGCTGTCTTAAGCTTATGTTGAACAAATTTAGGAAAATAAGATATTTTACACACTCAAAGCAGACTTACCAGATACTCCTTAGTTCCTTCTGGTGGTTTTCTTTTAACTTTCACCGACATTTCGCTATCTGTGAGACAAAAACTATTTTAACACGAAGCTAAGGATTTCTTTTCTAGCTGGCAACCACAACGTACAAAATGGCTTCCCCTTGACATTATTGAAAATAACAAATAATATTGCTCGCCATGAAAATATATCCGACTGCTTCCTAAAAATATGGATTAAGAGATTCCAAACGACCCTGTAAAATCAATCGTTCACAAGAAGTCTCTGTACAACTGGGTGCTGTGTTGCATAAACATCCACCATGTTTGTGACGAGGGAACAAAAGCGACGCCATTTCGAAACATGTCAAGAAGACTATTTCCAAGAGCACAAGCAGGGCTTGAAAACAAATCTCGTCTATTAAATTATTTATCTTCCTAATTCCACCATAAATAATTGTATTTTAAAATAACTATGAAAACAACAACACTCGCATGTTTTGCGAGGGCTTCTCGTTGCTAGAGTGAATTTTAACCCACGCCAGTTCAATACGAGTAAAACTAGCATTGCGTTCACAGTGTTTATTAAGAAGCAAATACACAGAAAATAAATTAACATTCTGTAAACAGTACGTGCTATCGAGGTACATGAACTTCGATGAAAAAAAGGCAAATTGTCTGCAAGACAGATTGTGTCTGACATGTATGTTAAATTTCAGATGACATCCTTTGACAGATTTCGTCTAGCGCTAGCAAGCTTAAAACCAAACAGTAGTTGCTCTCTGTTTAAATGCGACGATGCACCCTTTAAGTTTTCAGTCTTACCAAGGGAAGGGGAGGCTATCCACTGAAATCCTCTGCTAACGGTCTTTCTTAACTCCTGCCCTAGGAAGGACACATTTTCCCATGAAAGATAGCGAGCGGTATTGCCGTCCGCACGGACAGCACTAGTCTCAGATTTGCTTCTTGTCGAACGGAAACCTGCTCGCTTCGCCTTCAGCTGGCCAGATTGTACAGCTTCTTCAGTGAATGCAGATTCTTGTTCTTCTTCTGCGTTTGAACTTATTAAACAGGAAAAATGAATGAGCATAAATTAATCTACAGATGTATGTTCCACCATAGAGGAAGTTCAACAACATCAAGCCACGAGGTTGAACGATAATCCGACTGTTCTCTTCAGAAAGCTGTCTTACCTCGATATATAGCCTTTTATAAGGCTGTACATAATACGCTTTCATTTAATTGGAGGAAGGCTAAGGGCGCATCAGCCGAAAACCAAACCTTTTTTCTCCAAAATGTTTTTTTCCATGCAAATAGTTCACAACCTTCAAACAGGCCTGGTTGGGGGCGTTATAAACATACGATGACGTCACGAAAAATCAATCGATTTTTCTTCGGGAAAGATTCGTAATTTGATTCGTAACTATGTACGTTTCCTTACCTTTTGTGGGAAATAAGGCTGGAAAATAACGCTTTTGCCTTCAACATTTCAGGTTCTTCTTCGCAAATAGTCTTGATTTTGCAGGGAATGGAGTTCAGCAAAATGAAGAATTCATTCAATCATTTACATTTCATTTGTCCGCAGTCCCAGTAAGCAAAACATCTTAACTCGCAAGTAAGCCAATCACCGATTCCAGAGGTAACTTGAAGCTCCATGTTATTGCGTCATATATGCGAAAATCTTCGGTAATACAGCTTTTTTCGACAGCCAAAAAGGCCTTTTGAGGAAAATACGTTCGTTGTTATCGTCTCTATTCTTTGTAGCAACGTATTACCTGTAATGAATAGATATTGCCCTATTGACATCATTGTCAATACAGATGACAAGCACGTGCCTCGTGATTGGTAAATTTCCAACAATCTTTATACAGACGAGAGCTCCAAATATTGACATTTTCCGAATGTAAATAATTTTGTAAAATTCAAATATGAAGTGATAACGTGAAAAAGACAAGTTATGTGAAAGAGAGCAGATGTCCTCACATCTGAGATTTTCTCAACACTTTGGGAGTACAAATAAATGTTTTTACGTCTTTTTGGCCTGAACTCATTCAGCATTTTCCGTACTCATTAAAAAAAAAAAAAGAGGAAAACTTCAAGCACCATCCCTGCAGGAGACTAATAGTCGCAAGTCTAAATGTTCTGGATCAACAAAATTAATATTTGCAAGCTTAGCATTAAAATTGTTGCTCTAAGTAACCAAATGGTCTTCGGTAGAAACGTGCGCCAAGACATACATATTGCACGCAATGAAAATGGCTTTAGGCATTTATCATACCGTGAAAATAGACTGTTTACAGCCCTCTACTTCCTTCTACAATAGTTTTCTTTGATTGAGAATCCGGAGAGAACTAGACGCTACAGCCTTTGACGAATGATCAAAAAGACGCGAATGAATGAATATAAGCAGAAAAAAGTGTGAAAAATACAGAATAAACATGCGTAATTGAGGAATTGAAAACAAACAGGAATTCGAATAATGAAAAGAGACTAATTTAAAAGAATAGCACGTTGTCTAGCTTGTTAGTGGTCTAGAATTATTATCCGCTTCGTTAATCATGGCAGTTAGAATGCTAAGACTCGAGAGTTTTTCGCAAACGATAATAATCGCCTTTGTTATTGTCTTTAGCTAATTATTTATTAATTCTTCTGGGGGAAGGAATTGCTTCTATGGCAGGTTTATTCTTTAAGATGTTCCAAAGCACGGTTCAAGTGTTTAATTTCTTTGTCTTTTAGCTCAGTTGTACTTGGGAGGTTATACGCCGGATTTAAGAGGGTAAAGCAGTGCCGGTTTTGTGCTTCTCCCCATGGTGGGAGCGAAAATCCAAATACCGATTAGCATGTGTCGGTTTTTAAAGCCGTTAGCCCTCGGACATAAATTGCAAAAATACTGCTTTTCTTGTACTTTATGGGCTGTGCGAGGCTTACATGGTATTGTGGTAAAATGTGCTGCCGCCATCGTTTTTCCTACGGAGGATTGGAAAGTGCAAGGGGTAGGAGGGGAGGGCAGCGGCAACCAATAGAGGACCCGCAACCCTCCCTTGCCTAATCACGAGTCACGTTCGCTTCCTTCATTGATTCTCTCGCTTCCTTTTTGCTTTGTCGACAGAAAGAGTCTGAACAGTCTGCACGGTATTTTGCTTTTCTTTTCAAAAGCGGTGTTGTAAGGAGATATATCTTGAAGTATGTTAACTCGTATTACCAGTATGGTGGGAGCCCACACCCCTTAAAAGTACCAGAACCCATTTAAGTGAGGAAGGGGAGGGTGGGGACTCTTTTTACCGATAAGGGATGAGTGACGCGTCACTTTCCAGACAGAAATTTACTAAACGCGTAGGGTTTTGAAACAGCGATTTAGAGAAAATAAAAATGAAAATCGACAAGAGCTGTTTTTAACGAATCAATAGTGTTTTTAAATTGCGAATCTAAAGTCCTTAGCGTTCGATCTCGACGCGATGTATTCAAAATTCTTTCCAGATTTTTGAAACCTTTACTGAAATGCAGGATAAAATGGGGGTCACTGAAGTATTGAAAAATAACTTAAAGTTTGAAAGAAATGCACCATGATCTCCATGGTTTTAGATAAAAAATGTCGAAGATGAGTCCGACGGAGACAAACTCTGGTATTGTAGTTATAATTTCTAGAAGTGGACCGGTCTATTGCGTCAATAATTTTAAATGTCTCCATCTTTTTCCTTATGATTAGCCCTTCAAGACGCATTTCAGCCTTCGTACAGCGCCAGGCGAGAGCGTCGCGCTCGTGTATCGCATATTGCGCCCTGCCCCGCAAATCTGCCTGTTCTGCAGGCTATGTCGTGTAGGAAAAAAAATAGTTTGTGCCCAAAGCGTAGAAAGATATAATGGCATGACCTATCAAAAGAAAATAGGGATCAACGAGTATTCAGTTCAAGACATCTAATTCCACGCAAAGCTGTACAAGTGGCCGCTTCCACTATTTCTTTTCATTGTATTGTTCAGCACGCGGTGGGTAATAAAATGAATGACCGAGAAACTTTATCTGAAAGAAAACTAACATCTAAAATTGATATTTCAAGGGCAAACGCCTCTTGACAGCCTAGGCATGTTTCAGATTTCCGAACTCGTATACACCTCTCCTAAACGTGTATAAGAATTATTAAAAGAAACCGTACTTCATAACTTTGAATTGATTTAACCGTTCAAAAGAACAGCTCTTCCAAACATTATAATTAATTGTTAACCTGAAACAACTCATTGACTGTTTCATACCAGGAATAATCAAAATCATGTCCTATTGTTTAAATTTGTATCCCATTTTAAAGAAGCGTGCATCACCTCACCACCCCCCCNGGGGGTAACCCTGTGATGGACTAGCATCCCATCCAGGGGGGAGTAGAAATATTCCTAGTCGCTTCATGCTACAGAAACCGGGATAAGCTCCGGACTGATGGCCCACTTGGCTCGTACACAGACTTAACCTTTACAGAGAAAGAAAACGTCATTCTTGTCGTAAACAAATTTTGCCCCACTTAAGACGCACCAAGCTTTTAAACCTCCCCCCCCCCCCCCCCCCCCCTAATAAAGCTACCAAAAATAAGCTAATAAGTAAATGTATTTACATATCAATGATTGTGAACTAAGCAGTAGCAGGTGAGAAACTCTGGGAAGAAAGATGAGAAAATAAATACAATTGAATCGCTAGGGTTTATTTTACACGACAAGTAAATAATTAACGAATCGCTCTGTTCACTTAAAAAGTCCTTTGACAGGATTAATGGATTGTCACCATTTCAATAAATTGTTTCCATGGGTGTAGTCATCTAGTTTAATAATTTAAGTCTCAAGAATAAACCCAATTGACTCCCATTCCAGAAAGGACCGTGTAAAATCATGTTTGCAATTTTTGGATTACTCGTCTTTCACGTGAGTTTTTTCCATGTTTTATTGCTTTCAATATAGACAAAATTATTCCTTTTTAAGCCAAGATAAGGAATTTTACGTCGCTAAAAACAAATCGGTTTAGCAACCATCAACAATTTCCAAAGAAATTAACAAGAATTTATTAAAGTTTACAGTTCAATTCAACGTAACGAATCAGTCATAGCGAACCGCAAAGGTTTGCGGCACTGTTCCAGACAAATTAATTTAACTTCTGTAAATCTCCTGGATAAATGCAAATGCAGATCACTTACTTTCAGAAAGCACACAGGGAACTTTTGATTTTTCAGCGAATGAGACAGACGAAATACTTCAAGTTCTAATATTACAAAAAGTATGCATGGGTTGACATTTCCTATAGGTGCATGCCGCAAAATTGTTTTTCTGACCAACGAAATGCTTGGATATGGCACATTTTAACTTATTTTTGCACAAAGCAAGAATTAATGTGGCATAAAAAAAGTAAGATTTCCTATTTTTGGATTCGTATACCTTTTGATAAAAGCATGTTTCGTTTAGGTGCTGCAGGTGACAGCTCAGCATATGTGGCAGGGGACAGATGACTTGCACGTCAAACTATCGATCACAACACAGCAGCCTCTCATTCCGGGGTAAGTTGCTGTCGGAATAAGGCCGGAAAATTCAAGGCAGAAATCGTAGATGCAATTAATATAGCCAGGAAATATAGACCGACGCGAGACAGTATATTGTTGGACACTTTGCAGGGCACCTGCAACTAAATAAATGTTAAAAAAGTATTGCAAAAAAACTGCTTTTCTGAAGTCATTGTAGTTCTTCATAAGTTCGTGCAAAAAGCTGAAAGTATTGACGCGTCAGTTACCAGCTGCTGCCTTGGTTGTATCAAGCTCTGTCTAAGATTTAGGATCATGTGTCGTCTTCTTTTCTTCGAAGTTTCACGCTGAATAATACCGATAAAAAGAGAATACAAACGGATCCTTTTCTGTGAATAACTATCCTGATTTTGTACAACCACTGTTACCAAGATTATTTGTTTTCCCCTTGCCTGAAAGAAATGGGTCAGGAATGTTTTATGAAGCATTGTCAGCGATAGAGCTGGATTCTTAAAAACACTTCTGTATTTCAAAGGTTACCGCAAAATACGTGAGTGATACGTAAAATTGTAAGAGCGAAAATTGATTCCTAAGTTTTAAAAACAATCTGGCAGTCTGGTTTGCAGCAGCTGTTTCGCAACGTTTCTGTTTCTTCTTCAAGACAACTGAAATCATTGTCCAACTGCAAAGAGCAGACTATAGCTGTGCTGAAATCATTTACATACAAAGATAAATACATTGTTAGGTTAGAAAGTAAATTAAAACACTCTTATTATAACTCGCAGTGGGAGTAAAATTGTTTGAAGGGTGCACAATAGTTTCAACGGATAAACTCGTTCATTGTAATTCAAGACAATATCAAGGAATCAAATACAGATAACTTCGAACTCTACCAAGTTGATCTCTAATGCAGATTTTGAAAAACTGACCAATCACATACACTCATTAAGACATCGCGTGAGAATATTTGTAATAGCCACAGCTTTTTGTAAGCTACATTGAATTATAATGCCTGCCCACTGTTGTGTTTTAGAATGGAAAATAGCCAGAGAATATGAAAATCTTTGTTTACAATATACCTTTGTTTACAATCTTTGTTTGCAATATGCCTCAGCAGCATAAGCGATACAATTTTTGATGGTGCTACAAAAGCATTAGTTCTGAATATTGAACTGAGGACACAGTACGATTAACTGTTCCAGGGAGTTTGAGCTCGATGTATTGAATGCTTCTTCTGCGACGCGGGTTAAAAACTCAAAGTTTTGACAAAGAATTCACCAATTACTAAGTACTGAGCATAGATATCTCGGGATATAAAGAAGGAAAGTTGCTAATGTTTGAAATATTAAATAAACGAGATGCGGGATATTTAAGCAAAAGTAAACGGGACGTGTGATATTCAGACTCCTCCTAATGGGCTTCACAAAAGAAAACAAATGTCTCTTTCCCACGACAAGCTTTAGCGATTTGTTTACATAATGGTTAAGTATCATCATTGTTCACCCTCTAATTTAGTGCAGAACGATGGAGGAGGGGGTGGGGGTAAGGTAAGGTAAGGTAACTTTATTTTAAGTCGTAAACGTAGGGAGTGGTTGCCCAGTCTCCCGAGCCAGGGGCTCATGACAAAAACGCACAACTATTTACAATAACATTACTACTTACAATTACTATAATTATTCGCTAAGATAAATACAATATTAAAATATAAAATATTCCTAAAACTCAGCAGCTAGTCCCAATATTTAAAATTTGAGCTAGAAAATACAGTTCATACACCTTGACTCTGCAAACTCCACACTATTCAAACGGAAGCTTTCTGAACTGGCCGACTACTATGTTTCCCTAAAGCTCCTTGTTACAAGGGTTATTATTAAGATGCTCATTATCAAATAACTGTTTCAAAAAAAAAAATTGGTTCACCAACTGTTCAAATCCTGGCTAAAACCTGGTTGGAATATACTATAAACATATTTTAACACACTTCAAACACTTTCAGGTCTTATATAATTGAAGATTATTATTAGACTACACATAGTCCTAGTGACTGATACAGACTACTACTTGCATCATTATCCTTCTTGGATATTAATGTCACTCCATCCAGATACTAGACATATGACCGGACTTAAGACAGAATGTGGGACTTTTCATACAGTCTGTCTTAATGAGCCATATGAAAATAGTAAATCTGCTTCAGACAATCACATTATACATGCACGTGGTACCATGCTAAATAATAACCTGCTGATCCTGAGTTAATAACTAATGCTCAAGCAAAAAAGGTAATGCATCATCGGGGAGGGGAGAAGGGCTTACTTCAAATGACAGCTTATTCGAAGGTGTGCTTTTTTGAGCAGTGGGAACTTTTTATCGCTTCGATTTATTCCAGAGAAAACGCAACTCTTCATGTGGATTGTCACGATACAAACAACAACAAAAAGGATATCCAGGCATTGACAATGACATTTAACCTTCCTTACTTCCTGGTTTACCAAGGAACTTTCACCAGGTCCGGGTCCGTTGAGCTATCTTCAGTTCGTAACAACACTGGCCGTCTGGTATTCCAGGTAAGCAACCGTAGTAAATCAGATGTCTTCAAATTCTGTAATACGTTTTCTAAGGTTTATCAAATCGAAAATGGAGCTCGAAACAATCCATGTACTTGTCGAGCAGTCGTTCAGGGTGGAAAGATCGCGTGACGAACCCGAAATACAAAAGTTTTGGGGGAAAGATCGCTTGACATACCCTGTGTAGTATGAAAGATTCTGACCTCCTCCGCTGAAAAGTTTAAGTTCAAAGTGTTAGGATATTCCTGAGGAATCCTATATGTGGCCAAAAATAACTCAGACTGGAGACACCAACAAGTCACGTAATCTCATGTTGCTTGGTGACGCAGCTGTCACTACAAAACAACAAATTCATAGCAGTCCGACTAAGACTACAACTTTCTGTGAGAAATCGAACAAATCTTAAACTTGAACAGTAAAATTACTTTCAATCCAACCAAAGAACGACCCGAAGCAAAACGAAATCAATTCCAGATTCCTTTAGCAACTTTGTTGACAATTATCAAAACTTAATTTTTTTTGGTATTGCGTTTAGTTTTCGTCTTTCAAGAAGTCTGAAAACATCAACCTCGACATTAGGCTTCTCGTGATGAAACAAGACCGCGTGCCGAATGGAAAGGAGAGTACGTCAGCAGGTCGCGTGGATCTTTTGTACCAAAGAGGAATTGAAGGGTGCTCTCAAAGTCTCCACACCTACAGAAACTTTGAAATATTGGTGTATAACCCAGGTTAGACAACAAAACATAGCCTTTTTCCGGCAGTCGGCATATTTTTTTTTGTTCCCGTAGCTTGTGTACACTATTATGGTCCACTTTAACTCAATGCAGTACTTGAGTGATGTAAGACGTGTGCTTTCTGGCGCTGTAATGAACTGAAAGTGCAATACCAATCATAGCGGAGGCAATTCATTGAACACATGATGTAAAACCGTATCTGCTATAACACCCTTTATTTTACTTGTATTGCGCCCAGGTACTTCCATTTTTCGTTTTCAATCCAACGTTTTCAAAGATACTACTTTTTTCGCAAAGTTTCGCAAATTATATAGTGCTTCCTTTCTCTAAAATTTTAAGGCATGCGCTGTTCTAAACACCTTCCATAACAACAAAGAAACAAAGAAACTAGCAAACAAACGCAACAAAACCTGAAAGACAATAAAACGAGGAAATACTTACGCTACTTATTTTTATTATACGGCTAGTTCCGTGAGTGGGCAAGATGAATCGAATCCCTGCGCTGTGATTGGTTACCCGAGGGGTCAAGATGGCGCTATCTTGGCCACTCCTTGGGATTACGCGCTGTGTCCCACAAGAAAATGTAATAAATCCCTTATTGACAAAGTTTGTTCAGTCAAGATGGCTGGAAATTGGCTTCTGCTCGTTCTGCTGTGTGCGCGTTTATAGATCTCGACTCCGTCTCGGTCCATAAACATGAAAAAAAGAGCTTGGCCAATATCCAGCCATCTTGACCTCAAGGTTGGTCAGTAACCCGTATATCTTAATTTAAATTCTTCAGACTGTGAGAACTTTGGTCCCTTGGGGATGACAGACGGAAGCATCAAAGAAAGCCAGCTGATTGTCTCCTCAGTGTTCCAAATACTCAGTCATAAAGTTGGTCAAGAGCCATACGGCGCCGGATTACATAGAGAGGAGTACTGGGCACCAGCTGCCGGTCTCTCTTCACATGACCGAAGGCAGTACGTTCAGGTCGACTTCAGAAGTCTTAAAGACATCAAAATGGTAAGATAAACCTGAAAAACGTGCAAATAAAGTACAATGTTATTTGTGAAAAACCCAGCGGCTTTATGGTCTGTGTGTTAGATTTCCGTACTTAAGCGAGATATATTCCTATAAACATTTTTCAAACACGCTTTCAAGCTCTGGCTTTAGCGAAAAAATTACTTGTGTTTACTTCAAGATATCAATTCTTTCCATTTTAGAACTTCAGCATAAATGATCTATAATTAACTGAATGACTTGGATGATATTTTATCGTTTTAATGATAACTAACAACGCTCGTCTTACAGTTATTATATATTTGATAGATATCAGCTCAAGGTCATCCGAATTCAAAGGCGCCGATTGAATGGATGCAAATCACATCGAGCAATGATGGGCATCTCTGGAAAGACTACAGTAACAAGAATATTAAGGTGACACACTGATCTTAATTAAGCAGGCTGAGAACAAATTGAAATTTGCAAGTCCTTTAGTATGGGAAACTCCTGCACCTTCTTTTTTTCGCGTTCAGGTTTTAACGCTCGGTTGTGTTCTTGCAATTGGGAAAGGCTAAGAAAGGATGAAGGCTAATGATAGTTAAGGAGGAAGCGTGGAGGCAGGAGGCAGGAGGTAGCGTGGCAGAGTGGTTAGGGCGCTGGACTTGAAAAGTCCCGCTCTGACCACTAAGCTGGAGTTGTTTCATAGTAGACCCTAGTTCACCTCCTCAGTCATGCTTGTAAGTAGCCAACTGGTCTGCGTTATCCCGCCAGTTGGGATTTTTAAGCCTAATATGTTTAGTTGATATATATTGTTTCTTTCAGTTTAAGTGGCATGCTTGTGAACTAGCTAGGTGTAGCTAAGCGCATCGACCACTATAAACATCAACATTTGAACATGGTATAAGCTTTATCTACCAAGTAATTCCTTTCAAGTTATTTTTAGACATGATATCCAGTTTGGTCGACGATATTAATGCCGCGCGCGTTGCGTGGATGTTTTCGTCGAGGTTGAAAATGGGTAAAGCCACTTGGGCTAATCACGTGAGAAAAAATTGCGTCACAGAATTGGCTATACATCTAGACTTTCCTGGGACTGTTAGTACCGGGACTGATCCAAAAATAACTTAGGAGGGGTTACCTTGAAAATAAGACCCCTTTTTATTGGGGATTTTAATCTCTTATTGATCATCCTCGCTTGGTAATTATAAGACACTTTACCTTCACAGTGAGTCTCCTCGCAAAAGAGTTTAACTGGGTATCCTTCTGAGATAAGGGGGATTGGGTTGGGGTGGAGGGGTGGGGGTGAGAGAGGAGGCGAGTTAATGCTTCTAGACATGAGAACTAAACACGGCTTCTTTGACACTTTTGTATCGGAACAAGCTTGATCTATACCTGGTAGTAAGTTCTTTGCGGGTTCTTGTTTGGTTTTTGCCAACTAGATTGGTGACCTCAAATGTATTGGCTTAAAGGTTGCCGTAGATTTACGCCAAATCTATGATAACAGTAAAAAAAATGAAGATAACTTATTATGAGAACTTTAGTCAAAAGCCAAAAGAATTAATTGAAAGTAAACAAACATTTATTGTTGTCTTACAGGTTTACGTCACAATTGGTGCTTTAGAGAAAGCCTTGTTGACAGCACTTCTAAGGACGCCGCTGACAACGCGTTGGCTCAGAATCAGCCCCAGATTTTCGAACAGATTAATTGGATTTAGATTTGAGGTTTATGGGTGTTCATCGGAAAAGCAACTGTTTTCGTTTGAAGGCAAGACTAACATCGACAGTTCCAATAAAGGAGCATGGAATGGAAAAAAATACGCGTCTCGCAGAATTTTTGTCCAATTTCTAAGATCTCGCAGTCTCATTTTTTTTCCGTTTGAAACGCTGTCTCGGAGTCTCGATCCCTATTTTCAAGGCTTCGAAATTCTCGGGCTCGCAAAACGTATGTTTCGTCTTCTCGCAGTCTTGGATTTACTATTCGCTACCCCTTTATGAGGCACTAATACGATAAGTTTTCATTGCACTTTAAGCTTTTTTGATTTCGTTATGTGACTTCGTTGCTTCTAATACTTTCATGTGGTTCTCGTGTTCAGTTCGCGAGACAAGTTGTAACTAGATGGGACTGCAAGGTGGGGGGGGGGGG